GTGGGCCTCCCCTTGGTCGACTCAGCCTCAAATGAGTAGCTTGGGCAGTGGGCAAATATCGCCACTGGGGAGACAAAGGCGGTCTGGCGTGGTGCTGGTCACCCACCTAATCGTGTGCCGTCCCCGGCTTCATAGGTGCTCGCTGACAGCACTTGCCCCGACAGTCTGTTAAGGCTACACAAGAGGATCTTTGGCTTTGGTGGTCTGAACCGGTCCTGGGTCTCCCTTAGGTCGACTCAGCCTCAAATTAGTACCTAGTGCGGTGTGCAAACATCGCGACGAAGCCGTCTTCTCTCTAGGATAGCAATGATCAAATACTGTGCAACGGCGGAGCGTAACGAGTTGACATCACCACTATAATTACGTTGCGTTAGCTCGGTGCAGCTCGGGTTGTGGTTGTTTCCCACTACAAAACCAGAGCCGTGCCGCTACATTCCCACACACAATGAACGGGTCGAGTCCCATGCCGATGACGGTGGAAGAGGGTTATCCTTGCCATGAAAACACCGCAGCGGTAGCTCAGAGCCATCTCCACACAGCCACTCCTAACCGGACCGGCACGGGCTGGCACGGGACTGGCACGGGGCTGGCACGGGACTGGCACGGTACTGGCACGGGACTGGCACGGAACTAGCACGGGGCCGGCACTGGTGTCTGAGTTGGGTTAAAAACGCCGGAACCCGCAATCACCACCACTCCGCACAACCTCATGGGTGATTAGCACGCACGCACTCACAATCACGGCAACCGTCGTTCGCCACTGAGTGGCGGTCGCGTCACCACGGCGCTTGTGCCAGGCTAGGTGCACTCTGAGGCCACGTGAACTCACTCACGTACACACACTGACTCGGACACCCACACACGCTCACTCACACACAAAGACAAAGATCGCCCACGTAACCTCAACAGACTGTCGGGGCAAGTGCTGTTAGCGAGCAGCACCTATTTAGGCCGATACGCCACACAATGCGTGGCCAGCACAACGCCCGGCCGCCTTTGTCTCCCTCGTGGCGATGTTTACGCACCGCCCCCAATACAACACGCTCACTCTGGTGAAATCAGCGGACTAGGGGAGGCCCGGGACCGGTTTAGATCATCGTCATTGGTGTTGGCCGTGAACTGGAGTCGAACTCGGGTCGCTGGGCTCGGTGCGCAACGCGCTACGCTACCGCTCCCCACTCGCTCACTCAAAACAGACAAAGATGCCCCATATAGCCTGTGACAGACTGTTGGGGGGCAAGTGCTGTTAGCGAGCACCTACGAAGGCCGGCACGGCGCACGAGGGGGTGGGTGGCCAGCACCACCACGCCCGGCCGCCTTTGTCTCCCCAGTGTGGATGCTTTGAGGAGCGGCTCCCACGTCGGTGGATCTCCCCGTCCCCCCGTGCTCCTGGGTGACACCGCGAGATTCATCAGTGCCGCCCATCTACCAGCGCTGACACGGGGAGTCGCGTGGGCGAGTAGCCGCTTCACACGAGGACACGGAGACTCGGATTCGCCTCAATCGACGGAGGACCACCCCCCCCCCCCACACACACCCCCCACTACGCCCCGCCACCCCCTCATGAATATTCACGTCTCTGCGCGTGTCTGTGGGTGCGATTAGGGGCGGGGGGGCTAGGCAGAGGTGGAGGGAGGGATGATATTTTTCCATTTCTCACAGATTCACCAACACAAAGACAAATGTCACCCCGATAGCCTTCACGTAATTTCGGGGCAAGTGCTGTTCGCGAGTAGCCCCTATGAAGGCCGGCACGGTATCACGAGCGGGTGGGTGGCCAGCACCATGCCCGACCGCCTTTGTCTCCCCCAGTGGCGGTGTTTACGACACACCGCACCAGGTTACCCATTTGAGGCCGAGTCGACCTAGCGGAGGCCCAGGACCTATTTAGACCATTAACACGGGGGTTGGTGGCCTTGAGCGGGAATCGAAATTCGGTTTCGCCGGGTTTGTAGCGCGGTGCGCTAACCGCTGCGCCACCGCTCCCCGCGGTGTTCGCACCCACCCTCCCACCCCCCTGTCCTGGAGTGAGGAGTGGGGAGTGGGGGGGGGGGCTGGTTGTGTGCGGGGCAATTTTCATTCAAACTTTCGCTTCATTATCCCGAGCCGCGCGCGTTCAGTCCGACTGCTGTTGCCGCTGCGACTGCTGCTGTTGTTGTTGTTGCTGCTGTTGTTGCTGCTGCTGCTGCCGCCGGGGTTAATTGGAGGCGCCGTGAGTTTGTGTGCGTGCGTGTAAACGCGCGGAGCCCGTCGGAATATTAATGAGATATAATGCATCTCTCTCTCTCTCTCTTCACCCCTTCCCTCTTACACTCCCTGCCCCCCCCCTATCTCTCCCTCTCCTCCCTCCCTTCCTTAATCCCCCCCCCAGCATCTCTCCTCCCGTCCCTCCTGCCTCATCATCATCGTCATCATTCCCGCCCCCTCCTCTCACATGTCCCCCTCCATCCCACAACTCCCTACCCCCTCTCACATGCCCCCCTCGATCCCAGCCTCCCTGGGACTCGTGGCGCGCTGGGGGGGGGGGGTAGTGACGGTGGGGGGTGAGGGTGGGGGGTAGTGACGGTGGGGGGGTGGCAGTGACGGTGGGGGGGGTGATAGTGGGGGGGGGTTGGCGCGTGCCTTTGTGACAACACGCGTTCCCTCCGCTCTCGTACCACCCGGTGCGCTGTGTAGTCAACATCGCCGCCACTGGGGAGACAAAGGCGGCCGGGCGTGGTGCTGGCCACCCCCACTCCCTCGTGTGCCGCGCCGGCCTTCATAGGTGCTGCTCGCCAACAGCACTTGCCCCGACAGTCTGTTGAGGCTATACGGGGGATCTTTTACGCGCGCCTTTGTGATAGGGCGCGTGCTGCCCGGGCTGCCCCCCCCTCTCTCTCCCCGCGTGCCGCTCTTTCACGGCGCCTGACAGACGAGACAGCGAAATTACAGAGCTCGCACACGTGTCCCGTGTGTGTGTGTCACGTGTGTGTGTGTGTGTCACGTGTGTGTGTGTCACGTGTGTGTGTGTCCCGCGTGTGTGTGCCCTGTGTGTGTCACGTGTGTGTGTGTGTCCCCGTGTGTGTGTGTGTGTGTGTCCCCGTGTGTGTGTGTGCCGTGTGTGTGTGTCACGTGTGTGTGTCCCGTGTGTGTGTGTCCCGTGTGTGTGTGTCACGTGTGTGTGTGTGTCTCGTGTGTGTGTGTCACGTGTGTGTGTCGCGTGTGTGTGTGTCACGTGTGTGTGTCACGTGTGTGTGTCCCGTGTGTGTGTGCCCTGTGTGTGTCCCGTGTGTGTGTCCCGTGTGTGTGTGTCACGTGTGTGTGTCCCGTGTGTGTGTGTCCCGTGTGTGTGTGTCCCGTGTGTGTGTGTCACGTGTGTGTGTATCACGTGTGTGTGTGTGTCCCGTGTGTGTGTGTCACGTGTGTGTGTCACGTGTGTGTGTGTGTCACGTGTGTGTGTCCCGTGTGTGTGTCCCGTGTGTGTGTGCCCTGTGTGTGTCCCGTGTGTGTGTCACGTGTGTGTGTGTGTCCCGTGTGTGTGTGTGTCACGTGTGTGTGTCACGTGTGTGTGTGTGTCACGTGTGTGTGTGTCCCCTGTGTGTCCCGTGTGTGTGTGTCACGTGTGTGTGTCCCCTGTGTGTCCCGTGTGTGTGTGTCCCGTGTGTGGGTGTCCCGTGTGTGTGTGCCACGTGTGTGTGTCCCGTGTGTGTGTGTCCCGTGTGTGTGTGTCCCGTGTGTGTGTGTCACGTGTGTGTGTCACGTGTGTGTGTCCCGTGTGTGTGTGTGTGCCCTGTGTGTGTCCCGTGTGTGTGTGTCACGTGTGTGTGTCACGTGTGTGTGTGTGTCCCGTGTGTCCCCGTGTGTGTGTGTGTGTCCCGTGTATGTGTGCCACGTGTGGGTGTGTTCCGTGTGTGTGTGTGTTCCGTGTGTGTGTCCCGTGTGTGTGTGTCCCGAGTGTGTGTGTGTGTTCCGTGTGTGTGTTCCCCGTGTGTGTGTGTGTTCCGTGTGTGTGTGTGTTCCGTGTGTGTGTCCCCCGTGTGTGCGTCCCGTGTGTGCGTCCCGTGTGTGTGTGTGTGTTCCGTGTGTGTGTCCCCCGTGTGTGTGTGTGTCCCGTGTGTATGTGTGTGTGTTCCGTGTGTGTGTCCCCCGTGTGTGCGTCCCGTGTGTGTGTCACGTGTGTGTGTGTCCCGTGTGTGTGTGTGTGTGTTCCGCGTGTGTGTCCCCCGTGTGGGTGTCCCGTGTCTGTGTCCTCGCTCGCGTGTGTGTCGAGACACATGTCACACACGAGATGTTAACTACCTCGCCTGCTGTGCAGGAGGTTCGTCGGTTCGATCCCGACCCTGACGCCTGCTGCTGTATCTTTGAAGTTTGCGTCTCTCCCCGTGGTTGCGCAGATTTTTCTTCGAGTCCTCCGGTTTTTTCGCTCCACATTTGAAATCAACATCACGCGTTAACAGCATTTGGCTGCCGAAAATGTCCACGCGACAATAAGCCACTGGGTCGAGCGATCATTTGTGGACAGGTCGCTCCTGAAAAAGAAGATAACGGCTCAGTGGGCCCTTACTTGGGGAAATAAGAAACACATCCCTCCTCATGCGGAGGGAGCTGGTAGGAACGTTGGGTTGCTCGGTCAATGGCCAGGGTCAACGGCGGCGTGGTGTATTCCGCAAATATGCCCGACTGTGAGGGCGGGCACAAGCCGGAGTGAGTAGGTTAAACGTTGAGTTGTATAAGGGCACCACGGGGTGACCAGCCTCTCCCTACCCAGCCCCTCCCCACCCACACAACCCAGCCCCTCCCCACCCTCCCCACCCTCCCTACCCTCCCCACCCTCCCTACCCTCCCCTCCCCACCCAGCCCCTCCCTGCACGACGGACACAATAATCCCTTGCGGGTTGGTGTAACCAGGAGGTTCCCACCAGTATAACAAATTCTCGTTTACAGTTGAAAATGTTCCATAGTTCTGTGAAACGCCCTGACGGTTCCATCCGCCTCTCTCTCTCTCTGTCGCCGCAGAAATCAGCCGCGTGCGCAAGGACATGTACGTGGAGTCGCTGAGCGGTGGCGCTGGTGGGGGCGCAGGAGGTGGGGGCCGCCCCGAGCTCCCTGAGCCCGAGGGGGCCGTGGTGACACTGCAGCAGAAACTCTACATCCCCACCAAGGAGTACCCAGACGTGAGCCCCCCCCCCCCCCCCACCACAACCCTCAACACAACCACCCCCAACACCCCCACACACTCCCACACACTCCCACACTCAGGCCCCAACTGGGCATAGGGCAGCAGTGCAGAGGGTAAATGCACGGAGGACCGGTGAAACAGTCTTTGTGGAGAAAGTGGAAATGTGATCAAAGTTAAAAATACCTTTTCATCATGCAAAAATGTATTTTATGACTCTAATGTGAACACTCCATTGCTCATTTGCACTCTCGGTTGGCATCAAGTCCCCACACATTCAGCAGCCCCAAATATTCTTCCTCACCGGCCCCATTTGTGTTTTTTGACCCGGTCCCAAACGGAGCCAGTGCGGATCGCACGGCAATTTGGGCCCCAAAATGACCGGGCCGATGTTCTAGTCCCAGTCCGTCACTGCCCCCCACCCACCACCACCACCACCACGACCACCACGACCACCACCACCACAACGACCACGACCACCACGACCACCACGACCACCACGACCACCACGACCACCACCACGACCACCACCACCACCACCACGACCACCCGGCACGAGCTGCACATCACCACGACACGGCCAAGCAGGGCCAGAACATCTCCTCGCTTATTTATTTATTCATTGACCAGCTAAAAGGCGCTAGCGAGCTGCTGCTATTGGCGGTACTTTCGTATCAGACGGGGACCTGGCCCACACTCTCGGGATGATTGCTCCTCGTCGCAGTGGCTGATGATGGCATCGTCGTCGTCGTCATCACAGCGTGCGAATTTAAAGTAGCAGCCAAATCACCGCGGCGTGTGTTTCTAATCCGGGCAGTGGTGGTAGTGGTGGCGGTGGTAGTGGCAACAACGCTGCCGCCACCAACAACACAAACCATGGCGCTTGTGCCATGCTAGGTGCATTTGAAATATCAAAGCCCCACTGGCAGGAGGTCATGGGACAGATCTGGGTGCCATGGGTTGACTGACTGAGATGACTGGCCGATGCGCCTCCTGTGCTCCCCACTGCACCACACCCTCTGCGTTGTATCCGCGTAGCACTCAGCCCGTTGTTTGCGAGCGTTGTTGCTGGAGGCCGACTGCCTCCACCTGCACATTAGCATCCTTCACGAACCTCTCGGCCACTCTTGGACCCGACCGTGCCCAGCTTCTGTTCGGAACAGACCAGTCGTGACACCGGGGGGGCTGTGAGAGATGGGTGAGATAGTGATCTATTCGCAAGTGTGACGAGTGAACTGTGATTGGAGAGGTTCGAACGCGTTGAACGGCGTGGGGGTGGAAGGGGGTGCTCCATGGTTTATGGGGAGTGCTCGTGCCAACAACATCTGGTGGCTCGGCAGCACGTGGCTGTGGGCCGTGGTCAGCCCCTGAAGCTCGCGATGAACAGACTTCCCACTTGTATCGCCCCCACATCTCAGCGCCTCCTGCTGCCCACAGCCAACGTCTACGCGAGAGAGGTCCTTGCCTATGAACATCTGGGCAGCTAACCAGGTCAAGCCTGGTCCTGCTGATGAGACGCTGAATGTCGAAACCGGCCCACAGTTTGTCCTTGTGTAGAGGAGTAGAGGCGAGTGGTGGCGTCGTGTGCGCTGTCCGGTGCGGTGGCATCACGGGACGTGGGGTCGGACGCGCTGGGCAGTGCACGTGACGTCACCCCTCCTAGGGTATTTAAGGGAGACCCCGTGACGTAAGCGGGGTCACTGGAGGAACGGGGATAGGAGAAGGGGTAAGAGGGAACCAGGGATAGTGATACGTGTTAATGAACCCTGGCGGAAGCGCCTAACTCAACTCCGTCTCCGAGTACCTCCGTCTACTACTCAACAGTTTGTTCTTGTGTAGAACCAACGCTGGAGGGAATTGCGCAGGAGGCTGATGGGATGAGTGAACAAATGGAAGTCAGTGGTTTTGTTCTTCGTGTTGAGACGAATGTGTGATGGAGGCGCGTCGTCTGCTTGTTGATTGTGGTAGTGACCTCGTGTCACGCGGTGGTGATGGCCGTGGTGGTGAAGGTGGTGGTAGTGGTGATGGCGGTGGTGATGGTGATGAAGGTGGTGGTAGTGGTGATGGCGGTGGTGATGGTGCTGATGGTGGTGATGGTGATGGTTGTGGCGATGGTGGTGATGGCCGTGGTGGTGAAGGTGGTGGTAGTGGTGATGGTAGTGGTGATGGTGATGAAGGTGGTGGTAGTGGTGATGGCGGTGGTGGTGAAGGCGGTGGTGGTAGTGGTGATGGCCGTGGTGATGGTGATTGCGATGGTGGTGATGGTGATGGTTGTGGCGATGGTGGTGATGGATGTGGTGGTGAAGGTGGTGGTAGTGGTGATGGCGGTGGTGATGGTGATGATGGTGGTGATGGTGATGGTTGTGGCGATGGTGGTGATGGATGTGGTGGTGAAGGTGGTGGTAGTGGTGATGGCGGTGGTGATGGTGATGATTGTGGCGATGGTGGTGATTGCGTTGGTGGTGAAGGTGGTGGTAGTGGTGGTAGTGGTGATGGTGGCGGTAGTGGTGATGGTAGTGGTGGTGGTGGTAGTGGTGTTGGCGGTAGTGGTGATGGTAGTGGTGGTGGTAGTGGTGTTGGCGGTAGTGGTGATGGTAGTGGTGCTGGTAGTGGTGGTGGTGGTGATGGTGGCGGTAGTGGTGATGGTGGTGATGATGGTGGTGGTGATGGTGGTGATGGTGGCGGTAGTGGTGGTGATGGTGGCGGTAGTGGTGATGGTAGTGGTGGTGGTGATGGTGGTGATGGTGGCGGTAGTGGTGATGGCGATCGCGGTGGTGGTAGGAATGATGTATTAATATTCTCCTTGTTGATCCATGAAAGCCTCGCCGAATCTAGATATTCTTTATCAGGAGAGGCCTGCCGGGTGTTCGCGATGGTGGTGGTGGTGGTGGGGCGATGGTGGTGGTGGTGGTGGGGCGATGGTGGTGGTGGTGGTGGGGCGATGGTGGTGGGGCGATGTTGTTGCTGCTGCTGCTGCGTGATTCCCAGCGCAGTGATTTGTCGCGTTTGGCGGCTGCTGTTTGGCTCGTGTCGGATGCGCGGCGTGCAGCTCTCTGTTGCCTTGTGTTAGTACATCGGTGGTGGCTCAGCTGTGGCTCCTCAAGCCCTAATCAAATAGATTTTGTTTCCTCTCTCTCTCTCTCTGCCTCTCACACTCTCTCTATCTCGCTCTGCCTCTCACACTCTCTCCCGCTCTATCCTCGAGTTCGCTCTCCCCCACCCCCCCTCTCTCCCCCTCTCTCCCACTCGCTCTCCCCCACCCCCCCTCTCTCCCACTCTCTCCCCTCAATCAATTTTCTCCGCAAACTCTTCCTCTCTCTCTCTCCCTCTCAGTACAACTCTCTCGGAACGCAGCGCGGTAATCAAATTTCTGCGGTAAATATTCCCGTCGAGTCCGGCAGGAAATGAAGAGCGGAGAGAGAGAGAGAAAGTGGGAGAGAGGGGGGAGAGAGAGCCAGGGAGCGAGCCAGGGAGCGAGCCAGGGAGCGAGCCAGGGAGCGAGCCAGGGAGCGAGCCAGGGAGCGAGCCAGGGAGCGAGCCAGGGAGCGAGCCAGGGAGCGAGCCAGGGAGCGAGCCAGGGAGCGAGCCAGGGAGCGAGCCAGGGAGCGAGCCAGGGAGCGAGCCAGGGAGCGAGGCAGGGAGCGAGGCAGGGAGCGAGCCAGGGGTGAGGGTTTACATAAAGCAAAGTTATTATAAAAAACAAATTACGAAATGACGAAGCAAAGTTCCGACAACACCGAGCATCTTCTTGTTTCCACTGATCGTAAAAAAAAAGAGAGAGGGAGTGCGACTGATGAGCGCCGCGCAGGTCTCCCGCGCGAGCCGCGTTCAACGTGTAAGACGCTCTCCGCCACCCGTAATTGGATTGAGCCCAGCTCAGCGGTTATTTATTAAGGCGCAAGGACGCGGCCCCTTGCCAAGGCCGCCACCGCCGCCACTTGGCCGGCTGCCCAGAGGCGGGCTCAGCCGCCCTGATTGAGAACGAGCTGTGGAGATGACCTCCCCTACTACCCACTGCTGCTGATGATGCTGCTGATGATGATGATGCTGATGATGATGCTGATGTTGATGGTGATGGTGCTGATGCTGCTGATGATGATGCTGATGTTGATGATGCTGATGATGATGCTGATGATGATGCTGCTGATGATGATGATCCTGATGATGCTGATGCTGCTGCTGCTGATGATGATGATGTTGATGATGCTGCTGATGCTGATGCTGCTGATGATGATGATGCTGCTGATGATGCTGCTGCTGATGATGCTGCGGATGATGATGATGGTGCTGATGATGTTGATGGTGCTGCTGATGATGATGCTGCTGATGATGCTGCTGATGATGCTGATGATGCTGCTGATGATGATGCTGCTGCTGATGATGATGATGGTGCTGCTGATGATGATGCTGCTGATGATGCTGCTGCTGATGATGATGATGATGCTGATGCTGCTGCTGATGATGATGATGCTGATGATGATGATGGTGCTGCTGATGATGATGCTGCTGATGCTGCTGATGCTGATGATGATGCTGATGCTGCTGCTGATGCTGCTGCTGCTGATGATGATGCTGCTGATGCTGCTGATGATGATGCTGCTGATGATGATGCTGCTGATGATGATGATGCTGCTGCTGCTGATGATGCTGATGATGCTGATGCTGCTGATGCTGCTGCTGCTGCTGATGATGATGATGCTGCTGATGCTGCTGCTGCTGATGCTGCTGCTGATGCTGCTGCTGATGATGATGCTGCTGATGCTGCTGCTGATGATGATGCTGCTAGTGGTGGTGAGTCTGTATCCGTGGAGAGCGGAGGAGCGACGCTCACAACAACGAGCGGAGCGCCGGGTAACTAAAGCACAGCAAGTTGGCACAGCAAGTTGGCACAGTAGGGGGCACAGGTGGTGTATCAGCCAGTCATCTCGGTCATCTCGGTCAGTCGACCCGTGGCACCTGCTGGGTCTGCCCCGTGTCCTCCTGCCAGCGGGCGTTCGA